TGAACTATATAAACCCTTAATAAAAGTTCTTCTCTACCTCTTAAATATAACTCAAAACGTTTAAATCCCTTTTTTAATTTTTTAAAAAATTTAACAATTGCAGCATATTTTCAATGTTTTAGTCATTTTAAAAATTGGAATTTGATTTTTTTTTTTTTTTTAGAAAAAAACCTTTAAACAACCAACTGCAAGGCAATCTAAAAGAAATGCTGATAGTCGTATACTCTCTGACTTTATGCCTACTCCTTGATTACCACCACCACCACCACCGACAGTAGTAGTACCGGCTATCATTATTTATGTTAACAAAGTTTTTAAAAAAAATTAATTTACGTTATTATTTAATACAATTAAAGTAATGATCAACAAAATTTTTATGACTTCACTATATCAAGCTCTAATTAATATAATGGTATATACCAAGTAAAACTTCACTATATCGTACAATTTACTATATAGTAGGTTCACTATATCGAGCGCCGACTGTAGTATGTATTGTCGGCGGCATACTTATTATTTGTGTAACTTAACCACTCATTTGGGGCACTCCCCTTATTTCGTGCGTTTTAGCATTCAAAAAGACAAAAAAGATTTATCGTCATAACTTGAATTTATAACAAATTATGAGTGACAATTTTAATCACGGAATTAAAAATAAACTTGCTGCATTATATCAACAAGCTTTTCAACTTGCCAAACAAGCCGTCGAAGAAGATCATAATGGAAATAAAGAAATAGCGAGGAATTCTTATTTAGAAGTGTTAAAGGTTCAAATTTGATAGTTCTAAAACATTTATTAATTACCATTAACATTTATTAATTAAAATATCATTTTTTTCTTAAAATCAGATTTTTGATTCAATAATAAAAAGTAGTCACTTTATTATTCATTGTCATTTTATTATTATAGTCCTCATCAATACCATTAGTTTTGTGTCAAGTAATTTAGGTTTTTTTTTCTAATGTGTGTGAACTAAATTTGTAGTTGAATTAGATCAAGATGCGAAAAAGATTTTATCTAAATATCAAGAATATAGCACGCGTATCAAACAAATTGATGCCGAAATAATTAGCCAATTATCAGATCAAGCACAGGTGTTTAAACTATTATGGATATCAAAAATTTAAAATTACAATATTATTAATGTTATTATTACTATTATAATTATTACAATTGGATTTTTTTAAGTCAATATTAGACCTGGCCGTAATAGAAGATGAAAAAAAGAATTATCAAGAGGCATTGGACTTATACTTTGAGGCAGTACAATTACTTTTAGATATTCGTCGAAGTGCGCCGTATTCTTTAAATATCTTAAAGAAATTATTTAAATGTGGCTCATTCTAATATTATTTATTATTATTTGATTAATTTAGAGAGTAAAGATCAAGAATCAAAATCAGAATTATCTAATAAAATAAATTATTTATTAAAAAGAGCAGAAGATCTAAAAGGATTACCAAAAAAAACCATGGCATTACTAAGTAAATCATTAATATATCTACTACATATTTGTCTATTTTCTAGAAAGATTTTATACAATACTCAATCTTATTGGTTTTATGATTAGATAATCCAGGAAAAGGAAGATTATCATTTTATTCACCTGGATCAGGATTAAAAAAAGAAGAAATTGAAATTTTGAAAAATAATTCAGTAATAAATGGTAAAACTTTTTTGCCATGGGTGGAAGATGATTTAAACGAAGATTTTAAATTTGATAAACCATTTAGGTATTTATTTGAAATATTTAAGTTTATTCATTTATTTATTAACTGCATTATTATAAAAATGAAATGATAAATCAGAAACGAACATACATTGTTATTGAATAGGGATGATGAATATATGAACTTAAAATTATCTAATAGACAAATAGCAGTGTTTGGTGAATGGAAGCGTCCTTCAGAGATAATGAAACAACCTAGAATGATTGTAACAATTTCAAGTGAAACAATTAAACAAGTAACTATTAATTAATTGAATTAAAGCTATTGATAATAATAATGATATTCATTATTATAGCTATTATTATTAGGATATGGTTGATGATTGTTCATTTGTTGCATCTCTATGTGTTAGTGCTGAATATGAAAGAAGATTTCAGAAACAGGTTTTTTCATTTCATTTTTTGTCGACATATTATTATTCGACTATTACAAATCATTAACAATTGATTATAACTCAGGTGGTTACTGGTTGTATTTATCCTCAAGATGATAAAGGTCGACCAATTTATAATCCTAGTGGGAAATATGCAATTAAACTAATATGTAATGGAATTTATAGAAAAGTATGCTATTTATGTTATTTTATTTATTGTAGAGCACCACTTGGAACTTTTTATTAAACATTTAATAAAAATAAATCACAATGATTTCAATATGATAAACTATTATTTTATAGGTTGGTGAGTATGGTGATACATAATAAATAATAACAATAATAATATCATTATTTAATAATAATGACAATTTATTAGTCATAGATGATTTACTCCCAATCTCAAATAATGGTAAACCTTTGTATACTTATTCCAAAGGTAACGATGAATTATGGCCATGTATCATTGAAAAGGCTGTAAGTTAATGATATCCTGTTTTTTAATTACATCTTTAAATAATGAATTAATTGTTTATTATTAATTAATTTTTTTTTTAGTACATGAAGTTGATGGGTGGATATGATTTTTTGGGATCGTTTGTATCAACTTTAATTTACCTTTTTGAAATCAACATCTATCTATATAGACTAAATTGTTTTTTTCTTTTAAGTAATTCAGGAAACGATCTTTAGTGAGTAACTTGATTTATTTATGATATCAAGTTTCGAGTAATTTATTTATTTTTTTAACAAATTTTTAATAAAATAAAAACGAATCCAGTGCACTCACAGGATGGATACCTGAAATATTTTTGATTGAAGAGTAAATATATAATAATCATAATTTATTGCTTCTTTTTTTTACAAGAAAAAATAATTATGATAATATATAATTTATGTAAATATTAGTGAAGAATTTGAAAAAGAGCACACATGGAATAAATTATTAAATGGACAAAGAAATGGTATTATAGAAAAAACCAAAATTGTCAAGGAATCCAATCTATAATTAAACCGTTTATTTACCCCATATATACTATTATTTATTATTTATGTTAGGTCATGCATTGGTTACAATAGCTACTGGTAAAGAAGAATCAAAACTTATATGTGTTGGACTTTTTACTGCACATTGTTATGCAGTTTTAGGTAAAAAAATTTATTTATTTGTTTATTGTTTATTTTTAAAAATATTATTAAGTTTAAATGACTTTGTAAATTTTATTATATTAATTTTTTATTAAAAAAGACGTGCAAGAAATTAATGGATTAAGACTATTACGGGTATAAAGCCTAACGCATTTAATTTATTTATTTTCATTATTTAACTTGAAATTCTTAAATTTACTAATTTTTAGGTGAAAAATCCTTGGCATAGTCAAAGATGGAATGGAAACTTTAGTCATTTGGATGGTGTAAATTGGACTCCTTATTTGATGAATATACTGAATTATAATCGTGCTAAAGCAATCAATGATGATGATGGTATAAAAAAATGGAAAAGAAATATTTATTATTATTACTTTGGTAGACTTAGACTTAGATATTGAAATTTTTATTTTTAAAAAAAGGAATCTTTTGGATTGATTATGATTCTGTATGCACATATTTTGATACTATTTATATGAATTGGGATCCTAATCTTTTTGATCATAAATATGTTATACACTAGTAAGTATTATTGTTGTTGTTGTTGTTGTTGTTGTTGTTGTTGTTGTTGTTGTTGTTATTATTGATTTTTATTTAACTATTTATTACAGCTCATGGAATGAACTCCCAAAATTGCAAATGGACGATGACACGAATTTGGGTATTTATTTTATTAATTTATTAATCTATTGATTGATTTATTGATTGATTAATGAGTCTTTGATGGATAATTTTTAAAAACAGGTTATAATCCACAATTTAGTTTAAGAGTTGACAACAAAAATAACAAACCTTCTGCTGTTTGTATACTACTTTCGAAACATATAAAGGTCACCGAAGAAGATGAGCGATATATCACATTTCATTTGTTTAATAATACAAACGGGAAAAAAGTTTATTATCCTACTAATCCACTCAAAAAGGTTAGTAATAATAATTAATCGCAAGGTCTTTCTTTTTCTTTGTCCTTTATTGTTAATATTAACATAAGATTAATTTTACATAGGGACAATATTTAAATAACCATCACATATTGGTATATTTTTCGCACGCTATTTCTAAAAAAAACACAAACATATAAATATTTTTATCAACGATTTTATTTATACATAAAAAACAGGTCAGATTTGATGCGCCAAAAGGTAAAAGCAAATACACAGTTGTTGTAGGTCTAAAAGATAAGTCGAAACCGCTGGATTTTACTTTAAGGTGTTATAGTGAATCATCAATTATATTAAACGAAATACCTAAACAATACCCTATCGAGTATAAAGTATGATTTTTATATCACTTCAAAAAAGAAAGATACTATTGCAAATATTTATTATATTATTTAAAAAATATATAAAATAAAAGAAAAATGATCAATGGACGTCACAAACAGCAGGAGGTAATCCGGGTATCCCTACTTATTTAAATAATCCACAATATCGTTTATCAATACCACCACCAAAACCTTCATCATCATCGTCATCGTCATCATCATCGTCGTCGTCATCATCAACTACTACTACTTTGGATAAACCGCGTATATTGCTTATGTTAGAATCACATGATTTGTTTATGATACAGGTTGAAATGATTTGGAATAAAGGCAAAAGAGTTACCAAGTAAGTTGACAATTTGTTTTTTCTTTAAAAAAAATCAATATTATATGTTGATTAGTTAACATGTATTTTTATTTTCATCATCATCATCATAGTTATTCTCTTAAAGATATTTTAGTGAAATCTCATGGTTACCGTCAAGGATTTTGTTATTGTGAAGTAGATGATGTGAAATGTATCATCAATTTTTTTAACATGGATCAATGATTTAATCATAATTATAATTATAATAAATTCATTATATTATTATTTTTAATAATTAGATGGAGATTATACGATTGTAGTTTCAGCATATACACCTAATGATATTGGTGAATTTACATTGACTGTTGCATCTAATGTTGAATTTAAAGTTACCTCCATACCAAATGAAGGAGCAGTAAGTTCGATAAATAAAAATTATTATTAATTTAATGGTTATTTTAAAACAGTAATGATAAATTTTTTTTCGCAAATTTTTATGTTTAGGGATTATTTAAGGAAGTTATTAAAGGACAATGGTATTGTATAATTCTTGTTTTTTAATTAATCAATCACTTTTTTATCTAATTTATATCATGTTATCATTGAATAAAAAAGGATTAAAGATATAAGTGCAATGGGAAATCCGGAATTTAGTGATTACTACAAAAATCCATCATATCATCTTGATATTAAGGAAATGACCATCTTAAAGTGAATTTTAATAATTTTTTTATCATCATCATTATTATTCCAATTTAAAATTTAACTTTTTAATTTTGTTTGATTAAAAGGATTAGACTTCAAACTACCAACGTTACACCAATACCCCCAATAAACATTAAAATATTTGAACAACGAGGTAATAATTTGTTTAGTAAAGAAGTTGCGACTTCAGGTGACTATATAGATTCTCCACAGGTAAAAAAAAAAAAAATTTAAACTGTTAATTTTTAACTTAAAAAAATCCAATTAATAATTATATATTAATAGGGAGTTTGTACAGATGAAATCACTTTGCCACCATATAGTGATGGTATGTATGTCTCTTTTGATATAAATATATTCATTTGTTTTGATTTTTTTTATAAAAATTATTATATTTAATTATTTATGTAGGATACGTTGTTGTTTTTTCTACTTGGGATAAAAATATTTCATGTCAATTTATTGCTTATTTTTATACTGATAGAAATGTCATAATTAATGAAATTATAAAAATTTAATCCTTTTTCACAGTTTGCTTTCTTTGATTAATTTAAATATGGAGTTGTTTATTTTTTTCTCTTTTAGCAAGATAATAAAAAAATGTATAAATGCAATAAAAAAATTGTTTTATCTTGTATGTATTTGTGAACAGAAAGATCAAGAGAATAAATGCATTCAACAAATTCCTTGGTAAAACATTATAATGTACAGAAATTAATTAAAAAATAAATTATTAAAGTAAATAAATAAATGAGGATTTGTTGTTATATTATTGTTATTATTATAATTAGTTTTCAATCCATTTTGCAACTTTTTTACCCATTGTTGCACCATGACCTGTATTAATATAAATAATAGGTAATTAAATTATTAGTCAAATGTTACTACAATTATTAGATAGATTTTTAACAAATACCTATTACGAAAGCATGAGGCAACTTCAAATCACACAAATGTATCTTAGCATCAGGAAACCGTCTAACCATATCATGATAGTGTGCTAAAGGTGCCCAATTGTCACCGTCAGCAAAATAAAAAACAAATTTATTTAAATGTTGTTTGAACAACTCCTCTTCCAAGTCCTTTACAATTTCCATTTCCGAATTTGCCATGTAAAGAGAATTTTTGACAACGTGACCATGCAACAATTGATTTGTGGTGATTGATAAATGTGGATCAGATTGAAATGTAAATAACTTAACTACATATCTGAGAATTTGTGGATGTAGGATGCAGCGTAATGAGTGAACAAATGAACTTGCAAGATTTCTTGTATTTTCCGCAAAAAGAAACTATGATAATATAGCACCAACCAATTAATTGTTAATTAGTTGGTTAATTAATGAATGGGGTAAAAAACAATCATCAACACATACACTAAGCATTGTACCATTAGGAGTTTTTTGAATATGTTGTAAAGTTGGAAATAACGCGTATACATGTTCAATGTTACTATTAGGACGCGTCTTTAAAACCTAATAAATAAAATCAATATATATTAATTAAACATAAATATAAATAAAATGTAATTTGTATATATGATATTACCTGAGAACAAATATGCGCGCCAATAGAATGACCACATAAAACAAATTTAACCTTGGAATTATTTTTACCATTGTTAGAAAATTTTTCATGTAATTTATCAAAACATTGAATTTTATGATTGATTTGATCTTGTAAAGAATAAAGACCTTCTAATTTAGAATTATGAGGTCCATGAAAATGCCCTAAATTTGATACTGATGATAAAATTTTTTTTAAATTTTTATTTTTTCCTTTTCATTTTTCGAGAAATTTTATTATTTTCGTTACCTCCAATAATATCAATATTTTTATTACGTTCATTATGTATGGTACTTAAAAATTCAGTATAATAATTAATTAGACCAGGATTACCAGTTATCATAAAAAATACTATTTTTTCATCATTATCGCTGTTGCTGTTACTATTGTTATTGGAAGAAGGCCACCAAACAGTTTCTGTCAAATTATTTTCTACATTCCATATGAACCTTAACGGCAAATTTTCTCTTTCATTATTATCATTTAATACTTTAGTAAAATCAGTAATAATAGGAATATCTTCAAACATATTCGACATTTTTTTTTTTAAAAAAAAATTAATTGAAATATTTTTTGGGGTTTTTATATAAAAAATCTTCATGTGAGATTTTCGTTTAAATTTCATATGCAATTTAATAATATATATATATAATATATACACACATGATAACAAGAACCAATTATCTTAAATATCTTGATAAAAAAATATCTTAATAAAAATATCACACACATTAAGTAGATTGAGCACGAATAAAATTATCAACCTTTAATTTTAATGCTGGACTAATGTTATCAAATTTTGGTGGTAATAAAGGCCATTCTTTAGCTACACGCTTTCTTATGGTGTCAAAATCGTCCCATTTAAATACTTTACCATGATCATATACCACTCGAAGTAAATTGTCCGGATCATTTTCAGGAAAGGATTCTTTTGGATATGCAATTGGTATCTAATTTATCAAAAAATTTTTTTTAAATAATTGTATCATCACGCATATATTACATGTACATGTAATAATTTACCCCTTCTGCATTCCTTTTCACAACAAATTCACCAGGCAAACTAAATTTTCCAACATCTGTCTTTGGCGTTTTCATTATATCTCTAAATAAGTTTTAAATGTTAATTATAAGCATATAATATAGAAATATAATAAATATATGAATGTAAGCAATATATGTATTTATTATTGTTACCTTTGAGTACCATCTGCATAGGTAATATGTGAGAGTTTTGTAGCAAAGCTCATTGTATCACGATTAAGTTTTTGTAATAGGCCTCCTCCCATTCCAAAAGCTACATTTTGAGCTGAATAACCGGCTTCTCCTGTTGCTTTCAATATAGCTTCTAAACTATCAATTGTCACACCATCACCTTGAATCACTCCACAACCATTTATAACTTTGTATCCTTTCTTATTTTTAACAGATCCAAAAACCTTTTCAGCAGCTCTGATATATATATGTATGTGTGTGTGTATTATAACATATATATTTGAAGTTTGATTGATTTTTAAATATATATTTACCTTAAAGCCATTAACACTACTGTAACTTGATCACCACTATCGGGTCTGAGAACCATGTATCCACCTTTACCAATTTTTCCTGAGGCAACTGATGGTAAAACTTCGTCTAAAGCATTTTTATAATCATATGAATCCATTACACATGCAAATACACCAGCTCCGAAAGTATTAATAACTTTCAACATTGCATCCTATAAATCAAAATAATAATAAATTAATTAATTTATATAAAAAATTTTATTTGTGTCTTACAGCACATTCGCACACATAATTTTATAAAATGGAATTGTTGAATTATTTACTTTTTCAGATTTGTGAGCAGTCATTACAGAATGCTCGGTAGCAGGAATTGAAGTTGCTACGGGATTTCCATTATTCAAATGATATTGTACATAATATGCAGCACTCATGGTATCAGTACCTATAAAATTAATCTTTTTTTTTGATATTATATATAGAATTAGCCAAGGTCTTTTATATATATTATAAATATTATCTTCTATACATACTAGATGTGCTGAACCACCTATAATTGATTGTTCAATAGAAGTACAGCCACGAAACCCAAAGTCATGTAATCGACCTTCTAATGACCAGTAGCCATCATTATCCACTGTGTCATTATAAGCTTTCTCAATATGATCACGTGCACGGCGAGAAAGTGTTGCAACAGTAGAAGGATACTTTTTAATGCAATGCAGAATAAATATGCACGTGAATCATTAAATTATGTGATTTTCCAAAATAATTAAATGGTTAATTAATGTATGATATTTTTAATTACCCAAATCATAGTTATTAATGTTTCCAAAAAGGTAACTAATAATGAATATTCTTTTTCAGCAGTAATTTGATAAACTGGAGTGTGAACATGACATGGTGTGCCGTCTGGTAATGCTTCAATTTTTATTGGAAAGTAACCATCATTTTCTTTAATAAACTGAGAAAAATAAATATACATTATATTGAATAATTATATCATGGAAGTTAAATTGATAAATAATAAAAATAAAGGTAATAATAACAACCTTGAGAATTAAATCCTTTGGAAAGGGAAAACTTGTATAACCGGCATTATGTGTAGCAAAAAATTTTTCTGCCAATTCAACGTCTTTTAAAGTCCATTTAATAGCAACATAATTTTCAATTCTTTTTATTTGGAGAGGAAATCAAATTAGACCAACTAAAATATTATTATAAACTTGATAAAAATTTTTGATGGATACGATTACTCATACATGTATCTGATACCATAAAAAACAACACGTGTATCTTCTTTATCACCATTGTAGCCTTTTCTAAATTCGCCATATGCAACACACTTTTATGACACAATATTTTAATGTAAAAGATTTTATTTATTAATTTATATAATATAAACATAATTATTTCCGCACCTTTTTGGCATCAGGATACATTAATGTATGAGATGCTTTATATGAATCAGTTAAGACTAATAATGGAATGCCTAGCAAGCCTGACATTTTAAAAATTTTTTACGGTGTACTCAAATATCTAAAAAAAAAAGAGAGAATTCATTTTATCGAAGTATTTGGAAATTGAGAATTCGAAATCCCGCCCCCCTTCAGGTGAAATTACGTCATGCTTGTTGCATATCTATTACAAAGACGAAAATCTCTTTTTAAATGAATTTTTTTGAGTTAATAGTGATAAATATTAAACCGCTAGCCAATACTGTATAAAGATTTGCATTTTCTGATGTCGAATAACATTAAATTGATATAATTGATATAGCATCAGAGTTATAAACATGAGTACTGCAAAATTTTTTCAACCCCATTTATTTTAGTTGATAATCGGGTAAATTGATGGATTTGATAATAACTAGTACTAGGTCTAACTAATTACCTTTTGTATTTCCGTTTCCTACCATTGAGCACAAAAATTAGGATCAGCAAAACTAAAAGTAAAGGCACTGAAAGTCGTGCAAATATGATGTAAAGAATTATTAAACTTAAAAAATAACATTATCACATCGTTTCTAAATTTGTAGGGTGTTTCCGGTACTTTTATCCCGTCACGGGCACAACGGGTATCATCGGTTTTTAATATACTTTGTCTTTCGGTCAAATCATGAATAAGATATATTTGATATTCCTAGAAGATGAAATAATACCTCTAGAAGGACACCAAATCTTGAATATTTAATAATTCCCATCTTTCTGAATGTGATATGGGAATTTTAAAGTAAAATATTTCATAAATTTTTATATGAATATACTGAAATTAAATATTCTCTAAAAACATAAGAGTTAGATCAGTTAGTATCTTATAATTAGTATAAATATAATATACTTGTTGTATCCATGAATTCCAACAGATTTAAATTTCTTCACCGTGGTAGTTGTATAATCGCCGTTTGTGTAAAATGATAATTCAAATCGTCCAATTCATTATGTGCTAGTTTAAAAAAATTTCTAATTGGTATGATAGTACAAATTCCGTAGGTCCATACGATTGTTCATATAGAATCGTTGCATTTTTGTCTTGATATCGTTTTTGCTTGCATGCCCAACTTGGGGTTTTTGTATATAATCCTATACGCTCTGTCATCATGTGCTTCATACCACTATGACCAGAAATCAATTGTAAGAAATGACACGAAAAAATTATATACAACACTTACAACATAATTCCAGAAAAAAACAAATCAAGTATATGGTAAACTGTTCGAATAGATCAAGTTTTCTCATCCCCACCCACTTACAAATCACCATAATGTTAATAAAGAGAAAATGCCTGCAAATCCATATTAACAATAAATTCACATCATAAATGAGTGACTTTTCTACCTTGGAAAATGCGTTTTATCAGCTATTACGTCAAATAGCCCTTTGCATATCCTTTGAAAAGTTCTCTAAATAAATATATGTTACAACTTCTCAACTCAAGAAATTTTGTTTTTTCAATATTAATCTATATAATAGGTTTGTTCTCAAGTCAGTTTGATTCGAGGAAGAAAATATCCACAGAATTGAAAAAAAGTACTCGCCTTTTGCGTCTTTTGGGAGGCTTTTCCTTCCAAAAAAGGAAACATAGATATTAACAACATTCCCAATCAGGCATCGCAGAGAAAAATCAAAGTTTGGCTTACTACATACCCGAGCATCTAAAGAAGATTTATTGTCCTCTTCTTCGGAAGTAAGCTCATAATAATCCGGAATTTTCCTCCCGTTTCTATGATGACTCATCATGATCATGATTTTTGAGACCTATATGTTGAAAAGAAAGTAAATTTACTACGCAGAACATCAAATTTTTAAAATTTTTGAATACTCAAGTGATAGTAAGTGTTGTTGACCTGTGATAAGTGTTTTGAAGGGCTTGTTTGATGGTTGCCTGAGAAACGATTTGTAACTCTGGTAGTTGTAGTTCTTACACATGTCTTTATCTGTTGACTCATTTCAGTGGCTACAGCAAGGCCGTAGTCGGTCTATTCATAACAACAAAACCAGCAATTAGTGGTTTGGCAAAAAATCAATTAATATGTGCAAACAAATTGAAAATGTTTAGGAAACTAGCATCTACATATTTGATTATGTCATCACAGAATTTTTTGTTGATTGACTTCCAAAAAGCATCTATAAAAGAAAACAAAATAATAGCTTTTTTTTTTGAAACTACCATATAACCCATATAACAAAAAAACAAAGGTTAAGAAGAGTGATGTAACAGCCAGCTGGTACATAAGCATCCGATTGCGTTATGGCAGTAACATATTAATGTGTACACCGGAGGGGGAGCGACCTCCACCAGTGCATAGTAGCTAGCTATTTGGGGCTTGTCAACACGTCAAGTAAAGTGTCTTTGGACCGGAACGTATTCTAGTCCATTTAACCCCAATCATCTCACTCAGTGGTAATCAGCATATACTTTACTTCAAAACCGGAAAAGGTAATCTCGAGAGCTTGAACATTATCTATTGCCAATATGTCCAAAGCTTTTTCATACAAACCATGCTCCTTCCTCTTATCGTATGTGAAATCGTCGGTTTTTGTTCTAAATTTCAGGAACCCAAGCAATGACCAGATTGTACTATTTTTGAAGAGTTTTTTATTACTTCTTAACTTGTGATAGTAGTTTTCATCTCTAAAAAGATTTGATCTAATTGATCAGTTGTGCAACTGGTTCCTGGCGAGTTATTGGTCAAAATAATTCATCCAAGGGCTCAACTCTAGTAAATTCATTTATTAATAATTGTTATAATTGTTAATTAAAGATTAAAAAAGCTATTTTTTATTAATTATTTTACTATTACTAATTAATGATTTTGCTGTAATAAAAAAAATTATATAAATTTGAGTATATATATATATATCTAAGATATATCTAACGTCTAAATTAAATTGTTTTTTTCTAAAAGATTTTATGATTTCATTTTTTCTTTAAACTAGCAAGTAAAGGATGCATTCTTATTTCAAATTCTTTTTCTGTTCCAAAATATTCAATAACCTATTTATTATAGAGGAAAGAAATATAAACGTTATACCTAATTCCTTAAATTTTGAAATAAATAAATGCATTATATCTATATTTACCCTACTAACGAACTTTAATACAAATTCTGAATACATATAAACAAAGTTCTCACTTCCTGTGATAGTATTTGTTTTTGGTCTAGTGATATGTTCGCATAATTTTAATCCTGTCTCTACTAACGCAGATGCAAAATTTTCAATAATTTTTAGATAATTTTTTTCAAAATCTGTGAAATTATAAGTGTGTTGATGTTGATGTTGTTCGTTCATGATAATGTTATTATTATTAGTTATCTTTTTTTGCTTTTTGACGGGATCAAAATATTGTTCATCCATATCTTGAATTATTCGTAAATAACATAATAAATGACTAATATTCTCACAAATATGCATCATTCTAATTTCCACACTGCGTACTTTACTCTCCATTTTATCAATTTGTGACAATCCAAAATTGACATATGAAGTTGCTAGCATGATGCTGGACAATAATAATTTCGTATTTGTTGAGCCAACTAATTCTACTGCATTACCAATTATTTTGATACTATTCATAATATCTTCCATCACCTATTTTTTTGAAAAAAAAAAAAAACAAATAAAATAAATAAATAAATAATTAAAACATAATAATTATAATCATAAATAAATAAAGTATATAGTACCTTTGTAACTTGTGTATCATTACTAATTAACAATTGATGTAGTTGTTCTTTGTTCAATTCATTATTCATTATTTCTGAACAGTGGAAAGCTAATCCTAACAACCATTGTTTAGTTGAATTAGACCAATTCTCATCAATTGGAAATCCTAATGCTTTCCAACTCAATCCTGATTGTTTTATAACATCTCCATATAAAGATCTTTTAAATTCCAAGACTTCTTGGATTTGATTCAAATTTGACGATATGTCTTCACTTAATTGAGGAAATTCTGATTCGACTGTTATTTTCATGTCTTCAACAATTTCAACATATTGTACTATATTTTCAAACCCTTTTCCCAACGTTGACCATTGAGGAAACATTTGCTAATAAACATCAAATAAATCAATTAATAATATATATTAATTTATTTATTTATAATATAAATAATTCGTCGTCTATTATCATGATCGACTTACTATGAACGGTTTAAAATAATCACACCTTATCCAATCAGCGTTAATCAAAAATCTGTCAGTTAAGTGTAAGATTTCATTATAACAGCGTGGAAGGGAATTGTGAAGAACGAATAAAGATGTTTCCATATCATTTATTCGTTGTTGAAATTGCATTTGAAAATCCTGTATAGTCATGTTTTTTTTTATTGCTTGCAATTCGAACCAATTTGTTGTTGTTCTGGTAGACGAACGACACCAATTACTCTCATGGTCGTTATCATTGTGATATGATATTATACGACGCAACAATTGAAGTCTAGCTGGTTCATGGATTAATTTATTATCTTCGTGATCGCTGTGATAGTTATGATTATGATTATTATCAGTAATAACATCCATGTCTAAAGTGGTGTTCTTATTGTGAAGTAAATGAACTGTATGTTTTTTAATATGACGTTGTTGATGATGATTATGATGGTGGTGATGGTGGTGATGACGTGGTAATGAAAAATTAGAAGGGATAAATAAAGAGCTGGGATAAGAAGTTTGTTGTGGTTCATCGATAATAATGTTCGATGATGAAGATATTGCTGCTTCGTTTTCTTCATTTATTTTATCATCTTCTGAAAAGGAAAGACTTCTTGCCAATTTCAAAGATAAAGAATTTGAAACCTTTAAAGATTTGAAATTTTGTTGATTTTCATCTTCACATTTTCGTTTTAGAGATGATAAACAACTTAATGACATCCCTAAATCATCTTGAATTACCGAGCTTGTTGCTATATTGAATAATTGTTTTTTTTTTTTTTACAAACACACGATTAATACAGTGTTTTTTTTTTTTGGAGTTTTAATATAAATTTTTTTTTGATATTCAAGAATGTCTTTGATTTTTTTACCTACAAGATTTATTTTTAAATTTATGATCATTAAAATCATCTAATTTTGCCCCAATTAATTTCCATGGCATTCCAGTTTCATCCAATAAAATATTCTCTAAATTAATTGCATGTATAAGTACATAAAGATGAAAATAAAAAAAAAATTTGCAATTCTTTTTTAATATTAAAAATAATCAAATAACAAATTTTACCCATTGCAGTAAGTAAAGTATTGATAGCGTTCTCCCTAATTTTTCTAAAAGATAAACTATGTTCATCTTTTTTATTTTCACCATCATATTGCTGTTGCTGTAAATCTAATTTCATGGTTTTCAAGGTATTATTATGATTATTGTTGTTTTTGTTGTTATTATTATTAGTTTTAATAATACTCTTATTATTGTTGGCGGAAAAATTATCTTTAATCATCAGTTTCTTCCTCCTCAACTATATTATCTTCGTTATCGTCCTGAAAATCTACTAAAATTACGCAGGTAATAAAAAGTCCAAAACTAATTGAAAGTATAAGTAATAAAACTTTTGGTTGAAGTAATTTTCTATTTGTTTTCGAGTAAAGTTTTAGGTAAGTTGTTGTGAATAAGGGTGAAGAAGGAGTGGACTTTAATAATTGTGAAAACTGAAATAAATGTGAAAATTGTAAAAAGACCATGACTATGAAAACCACAGTCTTATAAAAAAATAGTCTAATTTATTTTTTTATTATTTTTTATTTTATAGTAAATAACACAAAAAAATTTTTTTCGTGACTTTTTATGATAATTTTCGTGACCTGCCTCTTATGGCCTAATTAAAACAAAATTAAACACAGTGTAAATTTTTTTAATACGCCCAATAATTAAACATGCCAGAGCAAAAAATTCACTATAGTTTTACTCTACAAGACTTAAGATATGATGTATCAAAGAAAAAAAAAAAAGCTAAATTTCTGCAATTTTATAAAATACATACATATTGATCTGCAAAGAGAACAGGGGACAATGATTTTCTGCGAAAACACAGAAAATGCAAATCTCACCCTAATACTAAACAATTAGCATATCCTGCCAAATTTGGAAGGTTAAACCTTTCTAAAGGATATAACATGACTAGTGTTGTCTAAATATGTATATTTTGTTCCCAAATTAGAAAGATCATCTACTGTTTCAGTGTCCAGTGCTCACTGGAACAGAAATTTAACAGCTATAAACAGGACCCTGGATTATCATAAATGAGGTAATATTCACTATGCTTGTGGTTCAGAGTTTTTTTTGTCATATTAAACATATGATTGGCCAAAATTAATGTCCCCAAACATCATAGTAAAAAATGCTTCTTTTATATCTGTCAGCTAGAACTTGAGATAAATGTTTGTAAAAATGAATTTCTTTGCCTATACTCAATGTTATGCATGATATACAAAGTTAAAAAAATAATTATCAAATAGCAACCTTAGTTATAACGTTAGTTATAAATAACAGTGAGCTGGACATTCTGGCAAATTTTTATGGCAGTAACTTTTAAAATGGGCTCAGGATGGAAAAATGATACACAGGATGTTACCTTAGTATGTTAAAACCAGTGGTTCTGGTTGCACTGTATCAAGCAAGCCTACAATCACTAAAGTAAAACTGTCAAAAGAATCACTGGATCAATTTATGACATTTTTACTTGATAAAAATAATACAACACCAAGTTCATATAAAGTAAATGAAGCAAGTGGCCTACATGTAATTTATTTAAAAATAATAAATAATCATTATGGCATGGCAACATTTTTTTGAATTATACCCAGATGGTATGAAAAGGATAGCTTTTATGACAAGATTAGAGAGTATATACAGGTTCCATATTCTGCACATCTGTGCCTCTGTAGTAAATCATGTTCTGTACAGAACAAAAAAGGATAGTGTATGAAATTGAGGAGTGTGCAGCTGCCTCTACCACCAATCAACTTTTCAGAATACACAAATTCCATACAAAAATTAAAAAATAGAAAATGTATGGAACAAAAAAGAATTAATGTACAGAATTGAAAGTTGTATAGAATCTCTACTAACTGAAGATTAGAAGATAGCAGATTTGTATATTGTGAATATCTTGGTAGCTTGTGTTTGACATGCAATGAATATGGTTTTGGTGTTTTTGAAGAGATGAAATCACCTGTTCAGGAAAAAATTAATAGAAAAGATATCCAGGTTAGTGAATTGATGTTCAAATAATTTTTAGAGAAATATTTTTGAATTTGATTATTCATTATTAGAATGAATTACTCAACTTGAAAAAACACAACATCATTTGAATTGAGAATATGGAAATGAATTGATTATATATGTTCTTGGTAGTGTGCATCACGATAACTGTATTGGACATTGTTTAAATTTGCATTTGGTGATTGCAATGAACATCATCCTATTAGTTGTGAAAAATTTTAGTCAAATGGATCTTATTTACTCCAAATGAAAAAAGCCAAATAATTGAACACTGGGAAAAATTACAATATTTCTGGGATCACTAAGCCAGGAAAACATATCTCAATGCACAATCTAAAGCTGCATTACTTTGTTTAGATAAGGATGTGTTGTTATCATAGTTGACTACAAAAATGAAGATTTTATCTCAATCAGCACAAGAGATGAAATCAGATTTTTTTGGAAAAAAAAGGATATACTTTGCATACCTTACTAGTATATACAAGAAATTCTGATGATTCTACTTCATTGAATCTTGAAGTTTTGGATCATTGGTCATCTGATCCAATACAAGATGCTTGGTTCACAACATCATCCTTTTTATGGTTGATTTTCTACAATGGAAAAAAACCTTTATGGACTAAAATATTGTCTGATAATGGTGCATATTATCATAATAAATAGATGATGATTAGTCAATAGAGTAAATGGTATAATATAGAAATAATATCATGGATTTTGTTGGAACTTGGTGAAGCAAAGACTACTGTTGATTTCCCACCATGCACAAATATGTTTATTTTATTAAAAAAATTTTTTACCTATATATTGAGTAATAAATAAATTTGATAATTTTAGTTGAAGCATGCAATAAAATGACATGTATACATCGGATATGATATCCAGAGTGAGGAAGATATATAGTAAATGCAGCAAAAGGACTTCAAGGAACATCTATTGCAAACCTTAACCCTAGTGAAAGACCAAATCCATTCTAGAGGGTATTACAAATTGGTCATATGGGGGCATGCTGCAACAAAACCAGACAAAGTGACCATTTGTATTACAAATGTAATGTGATTAACAATTTTATAATGTTCCATTTGTTAGTTCCTTAGAATTAAAAGTTAAGAAAAGAGCAGAATGAAGATATACTAATACCCAACAAAAAAAGAAATCCCTTGAAGGGAAATGATATGAAATGAAATCTTTTATGATTAATAATTAATCTTTTTTGAAATAAAAGTATTAGAAACAAGTTTCTATGAATAATAATAATCATCATCAACCAAAATAGATTAAAGATAAATAACTATTTTTATTTACATTTATTCCCTGATCCAGGTTCTTTTATTCTTTCTTTTTACATGTATAGCAATGTATTATAAATATCTATCATTTTATATATTGTGAGATTGTAAACGAGGACTGAAGAAGTTCCGACCTTGTCGATCAATCGAAACCAACTTACTGCGGAAGTCACGTGAGAAAGACATCATTTCTATTTTTACTTATTTACTTTGAATTATTAATCAAATTATTTGTTTTGCTCAGTCAATCCTAGTGATCACAATCATCATATCAGTCAGGGATTTTGCTAAATTTGGTATTTCTTAATTTATAAATGATAAACATTCTGGAATTTCCGGAAGAAATTTTGGAAGAAATTTGATTGGC